TTACATGTTGCTTGTTGTTGTTTGTTTTCGCCCGGGGTATTTTTTTTAAGAGATAAACCAAGGGTCGATGGTAAGACTTCACTCTAAAGTGAAGTTATAGTCTAAAAGAAATTATATCTCTGCCAAGATTGTCCAAAATATCTTCAACTCGTGCGGGAGGGAATTTATCCGCAATAAGTTTTTTGTTAAAATTGTTTAATGTCATTTTGTCATTGTCAAAAGCGAAAATGTCGGCATATTTTATGCAAAGGTCAATTAAATTGCTGCTTGCTTCTGTTGGGATTTGGTTTTCAAAATAAAATTTTTTTCAAGTAATCCTTTTACAAAACGGATACAGATTTATATAAAACTTTTTGTTGTTTACAAAAAGACTTGCCAAATATACATATAAGACAAAATTATAGAAGGCATGTATACTTCTCCCTTTCATTTTTTCATACAGTTGATGCTAATTTCTGGCCTTTTCAACATGCAGGGATACCACACTTATTTCGGTGCAATATGATCGTTATGTGTTTTCAATTCGAAATTACAGCGTGGCGACGAATAACTGTTACCCAGGTTTTTTTGAGAAATAAAAGGGTCCTTTATAGATTTTTCGAAAAAGTATTTTATTGTTAATTTTCCACAGATTTTACTTTAGTTGTATTAAAATTAATTTTATTGTATTAATTTTAATTCTTATTTACATTTGCCAGCAGTGTAAACTTCGAGGGAAAAGTTCATTTGGCACGCAGGTCTTCGTCAGTTAATTTATTTTATATCTTCTGTAACCATAGGCAAATTTTCTTCATTTTGAGTCCCTTATACTCTCTCTTTTGTCCAACATAAGGCCTCATAGTCATGAACACGGTTAAAAATTTCGGTTTTTATTTTAAACTTTTTAGACTACATATATGACCAAACTAAATTCAGTTTCAAATACAAACCTTCCAAGTTTAAAAAAAGGGGTTTAGAATTTAAACAATTCGGTTTAAATGTTAAACCCAAACATTTTCATAGTTAAGAATAAAAAAAAAAAACAATCTTAAATTTCATGCTCCTTCTGGTTGGGATTGAACCCGGACAGCCTTGGTAGCAACCAATTGTATCAAGCATCTTTGCACACTCAGCTACAGCCACGCATGTAAATGTGCCTTCATATGTTAAGTTTGAATCAACACCACAATTCGCTGTGCAAACATATTCTATTTCGGTTTAGATTTTAAACCAAATTTTCTATATATGAAACCTAGAAACTAGAATTAAAACATTTTGGTTTGATTTTTAAACCACGAACTGTTTGGGCTAAAATTTAAACCAGAATATATTAAAAATTGCGTAAAACTATTGACTGGTTTAAAAAGTAGACTATAAAAGTTTAAAAAAGGCAGTAGTCCCAGCGCGGTTTAAAAATTAAACCCAAATTTTTGACCGTGAATCGAATAGACTCGGAACTGGTGACTAGGACGGCCATTCATTCGAACAACCTTATACAGTTTTTTATTTTTTTTTTATTTTTTTATACAAAGCCTAAGAAAAATTACGCCTGAATAAGACTTGCGTGCCAAATGAACTTTTCTCTGAAAGTTTAAACTGCTGGCAAATGTAAATAAGGATTAAAATTTAATAACTAATTAATACAACTAAAGTAAAATCTGTGGAAAATAAACAGTAAATTACTTTTTTCGCAAACTCTATAAAGGACCCTTTTATTTCTCAAAAAAACCTGGGTAACAGTTATTCGTCGCCATGCTGTAAAGAAAAAACACCCCACGAAAATGGTTGCCACTGTAGAACAAGTGTATATTTTCAAACTGATGCAAAGAATGGAAAGTCATATCTTAAAAGGTTAGGAGAATTAACGAGACAAACAAAAATTTTATTGTCTTATGTTTCCTTCAAACCGCATTGCTATTTTTTCTAACTCTTCCTTTTGTTTAGCGCTGTAACCGCTTAAGTTATATTTTTTAATTTATACATGTGAGTTATTTTCAATGAGCATTTTTCCGTTTGCTGCTGAATTTTGGGTACATTTTCTTATAGTACCTCTCATTCTTTTTTATATTACATATATACACTCCGATGTTCGCGGTCGCCCCTCTATTGGTAATAGTAAACGTCCGAGTGTATTCTGTCATGAAAACAGCTTCTCATAAAAATACAATTGCCGTTCGGAGTCGGCGTAAAACTGCCGCACGCGCCTTATGGGAGGAGAAGCTAGGCCAAACACTAACATATTGTGTAAGCGCCAATCTGTATATCGTCGTTTAAAGTACAAAAGTGCGTATCGTGGTTCTACAAAACCTCGTAACTGACATTTGTGCCAAAAAAGATATTTGCTCACTGGAAGCTCCTGTCATAAAACCCTTAATCATTTATATTAAAATTTCGATACTTAGACATAAGAAGAGATAATTAGGTTTAAAAGAGAGTACCGTTTTGAATTATGACAAGTTTTACTCTCTCCTATAAAATTTAGGCAACCTCACATACAAGGTTTGGCATTTTCTCGATGCGCGTTTTTGTACTTTAAATGACGCTATGTAAAAGTATTGCATACATATTTTGGTGCATCAATTATATAAGTGATTTTTACAATAAAAGTCTATCTACACATATCAGTGCCATACCTATCAGTGTCAGTGAAAAATATAATATCGTTGCCCCATTCCCAAATAGAGATGCTCATACTGTCCGGCACAATGCCGTTTTTTACTGTCAGTGCTGCTTCAGTGTTCGTTCCGAAATTTTTTTTTATACACTCTAAAAACTACATGTAAAACTGCTACTGAAAAGAGTTTATTTTCAAACAAAATTTGTGTAAGTATACGCATTAGATGTTCATGAAATGTTTAAAATTGCAAACGTTTTTAACGCAAAAATACATTCCCTACTAAGTATAAAAATTAAGTACATTTTATGTGTAATTTTGCTCTACACTCTAAAAAATTTTTGTTTAAATTTGCGCATATTAAGATAGGTAACCAGTTTCCTCTCTTAATGAATGCAAATTTACACACCGTGTTTATTAAATTAAACACTGCTTACTTTTTTTTACTTATCATATGTGTGGCGTAGAACAAATTTCAAATTTGTTTTTTGAGTTTTAAACATTTATTGTTCACAATTTCACAGTTTACACATAAAATGTTTAAAATTTCCTCTAAAAAATGTTCGTTTAAATTTACGCATATAAAGAGAGGTAACCAGTTTCTTCTCCTAATGTGTGCAAAATTAAACACTGTCTGTTTACTTTTACATACCAAATTTGTCACGTAGCGCACACAAGGGGTGGGTTTTGGGGTTAAATTTATTATGATTTAAGAAATTTTGATAGAAGAAAATTTCTTTTCCATTTATTGTGCGCCGTTTTGTAAGAAATTCTCTTTTTTCTTGAGAGCTATTTAAAGTTTAACTGCGAATGAAATCATTGTCCTAAAAATATGCAATGCATACTCACTTACTGTTGCTTTTTACACTTTACAGTCTAAAAAAGTTTACCACATAACAAGCATTCGAAGATTTAATTTGCTAACTTCAAATTCGTTCCACCACAATGAACCACATGATAAAAATACAAGTTCAGTTAAATTTTCGTTATTCGAATTATTAAGAAAATTAGAAACCAGAAATCGGCGAAAATGAATATAAAAGTGTAAAGATTTCATGGAATTATTTATGCCGATTTCGTTTCTACCAAAAAATGCGACCTTCTCTTTGCCCTCTAAGCACAAACACTAAGAAGAGGGCGATAAGAAGGCAACATTTTTTGTAGAAACGAAATCGCCATTCATTTATTTATATTAAAACTCGTTTGTAAAATTTTGTATTACTTTTGAAAGTTGAGTGCATCTTGTGTTTGTAGAACTTTTTATTAAACAAGTAATTTTTAAGCAAAAAGCAAAACCGACTTCAATTAACATATACAAATGTAGGAGTACCGTTAATTTTTTTTGATTTAATGATCGGATCTAAACCAAATTACGGGATGACCCTTAAGGTACCATCTTTCCAGTAAAAAAAAGAATTATTGGAATCGGTTCACATGGTCCAAA